AACTACAGGCATGCGCCACCATGCCCGGCTAGTTTTTTTCTATATAGTTTTAGTTGGCCAATTCATTTCTTTCTGCTTTCTGACAGAGACAGGGTCTCGCTCTTGCTCAGGCTGATTTCGAACTCCTGACCTTGAGCGATCCTCCCGCCTTGGCCTCCCAGAGTGCTGGGATGACAGGCGCGAGCCACCGCGCCCGGCCTGCTTTTGATCTTGAATAGCCACACAGGCAGGATTCTGCAGATGTTAGACCTCAGACCGGCTGGCTGGAGAGCCGCTGGCTGCAATTCCACACTCGAGCGAGTCAGCGATTTGCACGAAGGCCTTAACTGCAGAGAAAGTGATTGGATTGGGGTGTCCTCTCTCTCTGCTCCCGTTTCAGTAATTGGGGTAGTCCAGACATTTTCATTTTCAGATTTAGATTCTCTCTGCAGAGGGGGGTCCTGTTGGTGAGGACTCTCACCCCACATTGCAGCTTACCCGATTGTACCGGGTGCAGAATCTTCTGGAAATTGAGAGAACAGTTTGGCTAGAATCGCTCCCTGATTTTAACTGCGAGGTGCTCCTTGGTGATTTGAGAGTTGGCTTCACAGCCCACGACGATTAATTAAAACAGGGACAACACCCAGAATCTCAAATTGGGGGACCTACCCAGTAAAGGTGACAGTGCTCTGCCACCCGGGGTGTTTGAATTCTCTGCAGTGGAGCCTGTTCCCTGTGGTTTAGGGTTTCAGTAGGGGGTCCCTGCTAGCCCGGCTTTTCATCATTAGACATTCAGGGGGCAGAGCCTGCAGGGTGGCGACTGGTAAATTTCTAGATCAGGAAGTCAGGCCCCTTCCTGTCTTGGCATCAGAGCCCTCGTGTGAAATGGAGAAGGAAGCTTTCTCCGTAAAGGCAGAGCACATGGCCCGAGTGCCTTCCAGCAAGTGTGACTTTGTTCGAAGTGTCGGCTTTTATCTTTGACATTTCGTTGAATTTCGTATTCTGCTCCAGGACATTTGTTTTTAAGTTGAATCTAAAAATAGTTTTGAGGCCGGGCGCTGTGGCTCACGCCTGTAATCCTAGCTCTTGGGAGGCCGAAGCGGGCGGATTGCTCAAGGTCAGGAGTTCAAAACCAGCCTGAGCAAGAGCGAGACCCCGTCTCTACTATAAATAGAAAGAAATTAATTGGCCAACTGATATATATATAAAAAATTAGCTGGGCGTGGTGGCGCATGCCTGTAGTCCCAGCTACTCGGGAGGCTGAGGCAGAAGGATCACTCGAGCCCAGGAGTTTGAGGTTGCTGTGAGCTAGGCTGACGCCATGGCACTCACTCTAACCTGGGCAACAAAGCGAGACTCTGTCTCAAAAAAAAAAATAAATAAATAAAAATAGTTTTGATCGTTGACCATTAACTAAAACTGGACATCCCAAAACGGCGCGTCGTTTCAGTCTGTGGCTTTACGTACTCCTGGGGCAGGGCCTGCGAGTCCCAAGACGACAGTTCTCCTCTGGAGAAGCATGGCACGCAGGGTGGCAATGTCTCTCTTCCACCCCTGACTCCAGGGCTGGCCCTGTTCACACCCCCAGGACATGTGCGGGGCAGTCCTTGGACTAAAGCACCTTGAGAGAAGGGACTGGGCCGGCGCGGCGGCTCACGCCTGTCGTCCTAGCACTCTGGGAGGCCGAGGCGGGAGGATTGCTCGAGGTCAGGAGTTCCAAACCAGCCTGAGTGAGCAAGAGCGAGACCCCGTCTCTACTATAAATAGAAAGAAATTAATTGGCCAACTAATATATAGAGAAAAAAAAAAGTCAGCCAGGCATGGTGGCGCATGCCTGTGGTCCCAGCTATTTGGGAGGCTGAGGCAGGAGGATCACTTGAGGCCAGGAGTCTGAGGTTGCTGTGAGCGAGGCTGACGGCACGGCACTCACTCTAGCCCGGGCAGCAAAGTTTGACTCTGTCTCCAAAAAAAAATAAAAAAAAAAAGCAGGGACTTGGTCTTTCTCCCCAGCCCTCTGCACTCAGGCCCTGTGGGGCCACAGAGGTGACAGAGGGTCACCTGATGGCTGTGAAATGGAGGAAGTCTGCACATGTCGCATTCATTTGTTCAGAGACCTTCTGCCATCGTTGCTTGGGGGCCAGGAATCACCTACGCCACGAAAGAAAAAGTGGGAATCTGCCACAGGCCAGTCCCGCTGTAACCTGTAGTCACTCGGCCACCTGTCACCAGGATAAGGGAGAGAAACGGTCCCTAAAACGTGCAGCTGTGCGCAGCCTCGCACCCGGGTCTTCCGAAGTCTCTCGAAGGCCTCGGGAATGGGGGCGCCGTTTGGGAATCTGTGTTCTCTGTTTTTATAGAGCTGAGCAGACGGACAGACACGAGGGGTCCGGAAGCCAGATTCCAGACGGTCTCACTGACGTAGGGCAGGCTGGCATTGGTTTGCGCGTCAGCAGTAAGTCAGGGACAGGGGAGCCCCGGCCACTGAAGCTGCCGCGTCCTCCCCTGCCGCCCACGTCTGCTCGGGCAGATCCCCCCACGCTGCTTCCTGCTCTTGCCCTCTAGTCTTCATTTAAAAAAAAAAATTATTATTTTATTAATATTTTTTGTTTTTAGAGGCAGAGGCTCAACTCTGTCAGCCAGCACAGGGGCACAGTCGTACTCACTGCAGCCTCGAACTCCTGGGCACAAGGCGGTCCTCCCGCCTCGGCCTCCAGAGCCGCTGCCGCTGGGACCCCAGCCCAGGCCTGGCGAGAGGGTTCTGGCCAGTCCCTCACTGCTGTTCCATCAGCTCGTTTGGGGGGTTTCTTCTTAATATTTTACCGTATTTTATTCTTTTGCTTTTATATGATTCTGATACATAATTCATATATATAATTTTTATAATTCTTATTCTACTGTTATGACACCAGTGTTTCCCATTATTGTGAATGATCATTAGTGTGTTTGATGTTTACATACACATTCATATGGAGTGGCTATTCCACAATTTACCTGAATTTCTTTTATTGACAAATACTTTGATTTTCCTTTTACTTCTTAATCCATTGTTTTATTTTTTATATATTAATTTTAAATTATTTTAAAATATTTTTATATTTCATACATCTTGACGACAACATGTCGTGTCCCATACTTCTTATTCTAAATAGCGCTGCAGTGAACACCTTTCTTTTTCTTTTTTTTTTTTACAAGATAATTCTATTTTTAATTTTTGGAAGAATCTCTGTGCTCTTTTCTATAATAGCTATACCAATTTACATTCCGGCCAACAGCGTACAAGGGCTCCCTTTTCTTCCTGTTCTTGTTTGTTCTCTTTTGTCTTCTTGACAATAGCCACTCTACCAGGTGCAGGTGACACGTCTTGGTGACTTCATTCAGGGAAGGGACTACATCTCACCCAAGTGTTTTTTTCCCCACCAAATTATGGGGGTCCAGAGGTTGGGGTCACGTACATTGCCCTTGCCCCCTCCCCCCTCAAGTTCAAGCGTGACCATCCCCCACCCGCCCGACACCCCATAAATGTCGTTCCTACACGGCCACTAGGTGCTGATCCGTCACACCAGTTTGCGGGGCTGCTGTTCGTTCCTGGATGCTCCTCTCTCTGCTGTTCCTTCCACATAGCTTGCCCGGCTCCATTCCTTTAAAGAAAATCTAGATGTCCGTTAAGCCACGCCGCAAGCACTCTGGTGGCAGGAGTCCCGTCGCCACGTCGGGCAGAGCGGCCCGCAGGAGGGCGGTGCAGCGGGCGCCGCCGTGTCGGGCACCTCAAGTCAGCGTGCCTGAAATACCTGCTGAAATGGTTATGCTTTGCAAAATGCCTTGCTCCCAGAGAGCCAGTAGTGCTTGTCCTTTCTATTTGAATCCAAGTATCAAATATTGCCCCCCCAAAAATGTACTTCATTGCAGAGGTTTGCAATGTGTAAATGCTAGATAATTCTGAGTATTCTCTGTGAAAAGATGGGAATTAGCCACGACCTCCCATCATCTGTCTCCCCGCCCCCAGCCCCCCAAGTCCCTGTCCTCGGGACTCCTCGGGATCGGTGACTCTAAACTCCCTCCTGGCGTGACACCCTGTCCCATGTCAGTTGGTGGCGTGTCCATATGCCCCTCAGAGTTCTTTGTGGGTTTTTTTTTTTTTTTTGAGACAGAGTCTCGCTCTGTTGCCCGGGCTACAGTGCTGTGGCATCAGCCTCGGTCACAGCGACCTCACACTCCTGGGCTCAAGCGATCCTCCTGCCTCAACCTCCGGAGTAGCTGGGACTACAGGCACGCGCCACCATGCCTGGCTCTTTTTCTTTCCTATATGTTTTTAGTTGGCCAATTAATTTCTTTCTATTTTTTTATTGGAGATGGGGTCTTGCTCTTGCTCAGGCTGGTCTTGAACTCCTGACCTCGAGCGATCCACCTGACTAGGCCTCCCTGGGTGCTGGAATGACAGGCGTGAGCCACCGCGCCCGGCTTGTTTTTTATTTTCAATATGTGGATGCCTCCTAGTGTAGACAGCAGGGGTTGGCCAACCCCCGGCCTGTGGGACAAACCCAGCCTGCTGCTGGCATTCGTCAGTCAGGTTTTATTGGAACACACCGTGCCTAGTCATTCATGTCTTGTCCTTGGCTGCATTTTAGGCCGGGCCCAGTGGCTCACGCGTGTCATCCCAGCGCTCTGGGAGGCCGAGGTGGGAGGATCGCTCGAGGTCAGGAGTTCGAAACCAGCCTGAGCAAGAGCGAGACCCCATCTCTACTAAAAATAGAAAGAAATTAATTGGCCAACTAAAAATATATATACAAAAACTTATCCGGGCATGGTGGCACATGCCTGTAGTCCCAGCTACTGGAGAGGCTGAGGCAGGAGGATTGCTTGAGCCCAGGAGTCTGAGTTTGCTGTGAGCTGGGCTGACGCCACGGCACTCACTCTAGCCTGGACAACAAAGTGAGACTCTGTCTCAAAAAATAAATAAATAAAAATTAAAAAAATAAAAATAACTCCCACTTTTTTCGTTTGTTTTTAAATGTGGACCCTAGGAGAGGAACCTCGACTGGTTCCCGCGGATGCGGGCCATGTCGCTGGTGAGCAGCGACTCGGAGGGGGAACAGAACGAGCTGAGGAACCTGCAGGAGAAGCTGGAGTCCACCATGAAGCTCGTCACCAACCTCTCGGGCCAGCTGTCGGAGCTGAAGGACCAGGTAGGAGAGAAATCCCGTCTCCTGCACACACACACACACACACACACACACGCCGCTGCCGCCGCGCTCATTTCATGACAACTCTGGCACTTCCCTTGCATGGAACAGGGAGCCCAGCAGCGGAGGACAAACTCCCGGGCCCCCACCCGCCCCCTTCTGTGCCCTTCCACAGGGCAAGGCCACAGTGCTCCTTTCGGTGCCGCGATTGGGACGTGGCTTTAATGTGAAAAACAATACCAAAAAATGGGCCGGGTGCGGTGGCTCACGCCTGTCATCCCAGCACTCTGGGAGGCCGAGGCAGGAGGATTGCTCGAGTTCAGGAGTTCGAGACCAGCCTGAGCAAGAGCGAGACCCCCGTCTCTACTAAAAAAATAAATAGGAAGAAATTAATTGGCCAACTAATATATATAGAAAAAATGAGCCGGGCACGGTGGCGCATGCCTGTAGTCCCAGCTACTCGGGAGGCTGAGGCAGGAGGATTGCTTGAGCCCAGGAGTTGGAGGTTGCTGTGAGCGAGGCTGACGCCACGGCACTCACTCTAGCCTGGGCAACAGAGTGAGACTCTGTCTCAAAAAAAAAAAAAAAAAAAAAAGGGAAAATGCAAACGACTTCAAGGAAGTGCTATAAGAAAAACCAGACACAGAGAGCCAGACCCTTTTTCCATTCAGTCACTCACGGGAGATGAGAAGCTCTTTCTTGTTGTCCTCCTAGCCCTCAGATTTGCCAAAGGTCACCCAGGATACTGACACTGGGCGTCCCGGGGTAAACCACAGTCACAGAAACGCCCTCTGTGTTGAACCCCCTTTTCCCGTGTGTGTGGAGGGGCAGGTTTCTGCCACGCCCTGGGTACTCTCTTCCCACCCCCAGGTGACCCCCTGCACATGACCGCCACTGTCACCAGGTGGTCATGGAGTGACGGGACGCAGCTGTGTGTCAAGGACGTGCGCCCGGGTGGCAGGCAGACCGCGATCTTGGTTTTATGACCGCTTTCTGTCGCTGACTGGCGGGGAGATGATCACGGGCAGACAGGGAAGCAGGTCCGCATTTTATGAGGGTTTCTCAAAGGTTTTTAATCAACCGCATGGACAGGGTTGTAAATGCTGCACAGTGGCAAGCGGCAGGCACCTCTGCCCTGGAGGCAGGCCGCAAGGTGATTTATTTGTCACTCTTCTATACACCGTAACTAAGGAAGACCTCATTCCAGACCAACTCTTCCTGGAGTTGGTTCACAGCGCATTTTTAATAATCCTACTTTGAATTATATTTCTTTTCCAACCGAATTATTCCAAACTGAGCCCCAAAGATACCATTTGGTCTCAAGTTCTTTTCTTCTGCATGTATTAAGATGCAAATTTACAAAAAGACTAATGAGGAAAGGCACCCTTATTTATGAAGGCTGTCGGCAGCTCTGAGCTTGGTAGCTACCTAAGGTGAGTAATAACCTAAATAAGTAAAACTAATGGAGATCTAACTAGATTACTTTGCTTGTTAACTTTTTCCCCTTGGCTGTGAAATGTTGACATATGTTCCCCGGGACTGCACTGGCTCATGAGTACGGTGTCAGCTGTTCGAAGCCCCCCACCCCCTGCAAACTGGGAGGTGAATTTTTTAATGCATCTAGCAAGCCTGCCTTCTCCTCTTCACCCGTCTGATAGCTGTGGCTGTAAGCAGCTCAGTTAAATCAGATGTTTAAAGTAGGGGCCCCAAATCCTACACACACTTGATCTAATAGTGGCTTATATAAAGGGACTGTTGAGCTCGCCATACAAGCTGGGGCCATTTTTCAGACACACAGACGAGCTTTGTTTCGTGCCCACGGTACAAGAGTTGCGATAGTTAGGCATTCCAGCTGCCACGCGCCAGTGCAACCCAAATTCATTCTTGCTCATTCGTGACTATTTCTCGCTATCACACTTGGACGCTCTTTGGGGGCCATGTTCCAGTTGATATGAGAAATGGGGCGTTTCCAAGTTACTAGAGAATTTCTGAAAATGTGTCCGAAACAAACTATGGCTGGGTGTTCTGTGGTGGGGAAACCAAGCGGGCCCTTCCCTGTGGGGCTCTGCCTGCCCGCTCGGTGCTAGAAGATTCTGTTGTTCTGAGTGCTGCTTCAGTGCCCACTTTGCAAACCAGCGAACCTTGTCAAGGGGGTGAGCCGACCTGAGGAATCCCAGGTGTAAGAGACACTCGGGACTTCAGATGTCATCTCCCCTGGTCCCCTCACTTCCTCGATAAGGAGCAAGGAAAGCTTTTAGGAAATTTTTAAACTTTATATGACAACACCAAGGGTCAGGAGTGCTGGATCCCTTGGTCTGGGTTTTTGTGTGCGTTTTTATTTTGTCACTGTGCTGCACCGTTTGCCTTTCATGGTTGATTTTTTTTTTTTTAAGCCTTAAAGAATAAGAATTTAAAGTTTGAGAAGTTGCATCCTGGGCTTTAATGGTATGGTAGATGCATTCATTGCCCTTTTACCCAACCAAGCGCAGTAGAGACTAGGCATCTTTTAAATCCAAGGCAGAATTGCTTCTGTGAGGCTAAGAAGTTTTGGCTTAAATATGTAAAATTGGATCACAGAGGGGACTCAAAGCTCATTCAGTGACATCAGAACCAGAATGGTTTAAACTGTTTGATTCCGGCCCTTAATACGTTTTTTTGTTTTAAACTTGGCAGTTGGAACCCACTGGTCAAAAAGCCCTTCCCCTGTGAATGAATTTGAAATTGAACTGTATTTTTCTTGGAAGAATATTATAAGCTAAAAAGAAGCCTGAGAAACCAGTAGGACATCCTCAAAGTGCTTTTGATAGGATTGATTGAGGTGCCAAATTACAGGAAAAATTCAACATAGCTGCTTTTCGAGGGTAGGGGATGGATTTGCTTCTTTCAAAAGAACTCCAGTCAATGTTTCCTTTTGATTATATAACTTCTAACAAACCTTTAATGCCTTTAAGAACCAGCTTGTTGAATGGACAGGAATTTTATTACGTTTGGCGTTATAGCAATCTTAGAAAGTTGCTGGTTCTTAAATGGTAATTGTGAGAATTCCTGCTGAGGGGGAAAAACTGAATTAAAAAAAATCTCCACGAATGATTTAATGAACAAGAAACTCTGGGCTAGATTTTGTTGTTAAGCAGCTATGAAAGAATACCAGTCACTGATAAAAGTGCTGGAAAACAAAAATTGCTTCATTACTTAGATACTTTTTAGATCTTCTGACTCAAAAACCAGCCTAATGGAGTAATGATAGTTTAAACACGAATGACTTTGGTTTTAATCTTTACTGTTATTGACCTCTTTAGTTTCTGTTTTCTTAAACTACCATTTTGGGGAGAAAAAGTTCCTGTTAGGATATCAGCAAAATCATGATTAGTGGTGTCAGTTTTTCTATGCTTGCCAAGAATGGTTGGTTGGAATTGCTGTTCTAGGCCGGGTGCGGAGGCTCACGACTGTCATCCTAGCACTCTGGGAGGCCGAGGCAGGCGGATTGCTCGAGGTCAGGAGTTCGAAACTAGCCTGAGTGAGCAAAAGTGAGACCCCCTCTCTACTATAAATAGAAAGAAATTAATTGGCCAACTAATATATATATAGAAAAAAAAATGAGCTGGGCATGGTGGCGCATGCCTGTAGTCCCAGCTACTCGGGAGGCTGAGGCAGGAGGATCGCTTGAGCCCAGGAGTTGGAGGTTGCTGTGAGCGAGGCTGACGCCACGACACTCACTCTAGCCTGGGCATCAAAGCGAGACTCTGTCTCAAATAAAAAAGGAATTGCTATTCTAAGTGTTACTTAATGATGCCTCTCGAAGTTTCCCCTCCCAGGAGATTCTGAATACTGAATGTGATTCTCTTACATTCTTATTCCGAGGAGGAGAACTAATGTAAGAACTTAAATTTTTGTGTGTGTGCATGTTTTCTCAATATTCGCTCTTTTGCATTATGAAGAAGGGTTACCTTTTTTGGAAATGTGACTGGCTTCCTCTGAGACAGCGACCCTTGACCCTTGTTTGTTGTTGCCAGACAAGAAGTACCTGAAAATTCAGATCATATTAGCATGTTAAGGTGTTTGGCATTTTTTTGTTCATGCAAGAGGGTTCTCTTGTTGACATTAACTGCTTAAGGAAGGAAGGAATAACAACAGATTAGAATAACTGCTCCAAACTGGACAATGGAGTAGGAAACAAACCTTCCTGAATGTGGCCGTGTTCCTTACCTTGTGCTGGGACCAACACATCTGTGCTCTGGGGTCCCATAATCTAGCAAGAAAGACAAAGAAGTAGACTTCTGATGATCTAGGATGGTATCAGAAGCTCAGTGACCTGAGGCATGAATAAAAGATCCATGGAGCACACAGAGGTAGGTAGGTGGTCTTGGGTGAGGTGTGAAACAAGGAAGGAGTTTAATTTCTACAGTCTTCCAACAAGGTCACTTTTGGGCTGGCAGGGAGAGGCAGGAGGGGGCGTCCCAGGAAAGGAACCAGCAGGAACAACGGCATGAGGATGCCTGGCATGCTCCAGGAATGGCAGTGTGTTCTGGTCAGTTCCATTCCTTCTGCCCACCAGCATCCACGGCACACCTGTTTGCCAGGTGCAGCTCTAGGTGCTAGGGATGCAAAGGTTATGAATAGGTCCTGTTCTCTTTCCGCGAGAGCTGACACTCAGAGTGGGAGACAAGTGAGCAGATAAATTAGGATTAAACGTGGTGCGTGTGTACCAGAGGCACGATCACATTGCCCTGGGAGTGGAGAGCGAGGAGCGATTCATTCGCCCTGACCTTAGGGAGAAAATGAGTCACCCCACACCCCTTCTCAGAGGTGATGACGCGGGAGCTCGGTTTCAAAGCTTGAGAAATTTTGCCAGGGGAAAGGAATAGAGCGTCAGGGATCGACTCTAAGAATCTGAACCGTAGCCAGACATTTCCCTTAAATCAGTGTAACTAGGCCGGGCGCGGTGGCTCATGCCTGTAATCCTAGCACTCTGGGAGGTCGAGGCGGGCAGATGACTCGAGGTCAGGAGTTCGAAAGCAGCCTGAGCAAGACACCCCACCCCCCGTCTCTACTAAAAATAGAAAGAAATTAATTGACCAACTAAAAATATATAGAGAAAAAATGAGCCGGACGTGGTGGTGCATGCCTATAGTCCCAGCTACTCGGGAGGCTGAGGCAGGAGGATCGCTTGAGCCCAGGAGTCTGAGGATGCTGTGAGCGAGGCTGACACCAGGGCACTCTAGTCTGGGCAACAGAGTGAGACTCTGTCTCAAAAATAAATCAATGAATCAGTGTAAGCGTATTCGGGAGATGCTCAGTTTGTTCTCAGTATTTGAGAAGCATCATTCTGAGCAGGACTGGCCATGCAGGACTGCACAAAGGAGTTCTGACGACTGGAGTCCGCTGGCTGTTGAGAAGCCGAGTAACCGGCCTTACCGTGACAGGAAGGCCGCTTTGCAGAGACTATGAAGACGTGTTTTGAACCTGAGTGTAGCGTGCGTGTGCTGTCAGTGAACCTTCCTTCTCCCTGTGCCAGCCTTCGATCATTTGGAGGCTGTGCTGGCAGATTAAAATTTGCTCATTTGTAGTCTACACCTAGTGCTTTCAGATGTTTGGCTGCACCTGACCTGACAGCTACCCAACTCTTTGCTGCTTGTTTAGACTGGAGCCAGGAGGAGGAATGCTGAAATTCAAGCCCGTTTCTACGTTGTTTCAGCTGTTCCTCCTCAGCTACATGGGAATTTTGAGCATTTTAAAATGCACTATAGGCTGGGCGTGGTGGCTCACGCCTGTGATCCCAGCACTCTGGGAGGCCAAGGCGGGAGGATCGCTCAAAGTCAGGAGTTCAAAGCAGCCTGAGCAAGAGCAAGATCCCTGTCTCTACTATCAGTAGAAAGAAATTAATTGGCCAACTAAAAATAGATAGAAAAAATTAGCCAGGCATGGTGGCATGTGTCTGTAGTCCCAGCTACTCGGGAGGCTGAGGCAGGAGGATCGCTTGAGTTTGAGGTTGCAGTAAGCTATGATCATGCCACTGCATTCTGGCCTGGGCAAGAGAGGGAGACCCTGTCTCTAGAAAAAATAAAAATAAAACAAAATTACAGCAAAATGTTTTAAATGGCCAACTTTGAAAGTGAACTTTGAGTCAAAAGATCTCAGCAGCTTTAAGTATCCTTCAATAGGGGTTGATCACACCAAGATTTCTAAATCCATTTGAATGCATGAGAGTATCAAAATTTAGCTAAGTTACCTGCCAAGAGAATAGATGTGGAGAAAAAAATCTGAGCTAAATATCTGAACGATCAGGTTGTAAGATGAATGAATTATGGGTATTTTAATCTAATTGTGAAATTATTTTATGTGTTATATTAGATTCTCTTTCCTTAGCTGAATCTGTGAATATAGTATAGTGTGTTAAATCTTCCTTTAAAAATTTATCACTAATCCAAGGAAAGTTTAGAGCAGACGTCCTCAAACTACGGCCCGAGGGCCACATGCGGGCCACCTAGCACATTTATCCGGCTTTCCGGGTGTTTTTGTCACCGCTGCCTGTCCTGCTTAGCAGCCGACGCGTCCTGGGCCCACAGTGCGCACTCTCTGAGGGACAGTGACCTGGCCCCCTGTTTAAACAGTTTGAGGACCCCTGCTGTATGGGCTATCTGGAATATCCTAATTCATACATAAAAATCCTAATATCCTAATTAGGAATATCCTAATTCTATATAAAAAAGCTTTATTAAAAGGTAGCTTTTGGAAATATCAAATCCTTGTAAATCTTCTCATCTAAATTATAACAGAGTATTTTGATTTGAAAAAAGGATAACCGCTCTCATTTTGAAAAAGAACCACTTTAAAATTCCACCTAGGCTCCCAGACTTTACCACTACACAGTACATCCACGGAATAAAACTGTACTTCACACCCCGCCCCCCAAATCTATAAAAATAAAGAGGAAAAAAAATGAACCTGGGTAAATTATGCTTGTTGTATGTTCTTATATTTTATACCAAAAATCAGTTCAAGTGCAAACTGGGGTTTAAGCATGTAGTATGTGACAGACCAGGAAGTTTACATACACCTGTCAATTCTCCACCTGTGAGATGGGAATTATTCTGATTGGATGAATGGAGAGACAGACTTTGAGAATTGAAATGACAAGACCATAAGGGAATAAATCTGATTCCAAAGCCTACATTCTTTTTACTACTCTACCCTAATTCCTTTCCGACTTTAGGAAACCAAAAATCTAGGAGTAGGACCTTAAGCCACCTGTAGATAGTTTTATCCAATACATAAACATCCAGCCTTAAATCCAAAGCTAGGACTAACAGGGTTAAGCAAAAAAAATTTTTTTTCCTTTTTAAAGTCAGAGTTTCACTCTGTCACCCCAGGTAGAGTGCAGTGGCATCAGCCTCGCTCACAGCAACCTCAAACTCCTAGGCTCAAGCGATCCTTCTGCCTCGGCCTCCTGAGCAGCTGGGACGACAAATGTACACTCCCATGCCCAGCTAATTTTTTCTACCTTTGGTAGAGACAGGGCTCTTGCTCAGGCTGGTCTTGAACTCTTAACTGACCGCAAGCGATCCTCCAGCCTTGGCCTCCCAGAGTGCTAGGATTATAGGCATGAGCCACGTCACCCAGCCAAGAAAAATCTTAATGCAGAGAGAGAATTAAGCTTGCCCTAAAATGCCCAGAGGGAGAGACCCATCAACGTGAGAACATTATTACTTCAGCAGCCAGACAAATGGAACCAACCTCTTGGTTTGGGGTTGAAGGCCCTTTTTCGTTTGAACTAGTCTCAGGAAATGGTTTCTCCTGAGCTTAAGCAAGCCTCGGTGCCTGTTGGTGGCAAGAAGTAGGCACCACTGGTGGCCAGGACATCGTTCATAGTGTTCAGTCATTCTGGACGGCAGGGGTAGGTGAGGACGTTTCTGGTTTCCTCTCTAAGCAACTCCTCAAGAGTCAGAGAACTCAGGCCCCCGAAGAGTGCGGGCATACTCCTCCTCCAGCCTGGGGTTCTCAACCCACTGCTGTCCTTGGTAGCATGGCATGTTGTTGCTGTCGTACAAAGCCACCATTTTCCAGTGAGCCTTCGTATCATTTGGAAACTGCCAAGAATCCTGTGCATTCACTGTTGGTTTCCTTTGTTGTTGTTGTTTCCTTATGAAACAAGTAGCAGGCGATACTTCTGCATGTGACATTGCACGACGATGTCGCAGAATTGGCCGTTCCGCCTAAGAAGATGCCCCTTTTTGAAGTGCCGTGTGTGATGTAGCGACGGCACAGTCTTTGTAGAAAGTGGGTTTCAGTGTAAACCATAACCGCAGAGGCAAATCTATGGTTCAGCGCCTGATTTGAAGCACAGGAAGTATCCGGGTCTAATGATGAAACTGTTTAACTTTCAGATGACAGAACAAAGGAAGCAGAAACAAAGAATCGGCCTCCTGGGACATCCTCCTCACATGAATGTCAACCCACAGCAGCCCGCCTAAGCAAGCGAAACACAGGAATTAGTATTTACCTTTTATAATTATTATTAGTGTGGGTACGGCTTCTGACTTTGATTCGCCCACTGAAGGTTACGTTGACGCGCAGTCCATTTGTAAATACCGTTTCATACCGTGTGTATATGATTGCTACTCTAAAAGGTTTGGAGACATGTCTTGTAACTAGAACTGTTGGCATGAGGACATTTCATTTGTGCCAAAAATACTGCAAATACCTTTCTCGGAAGGACTGAAGAAAGCACCCGATTTGCACTTGAACCATATTATAGATTTCAAAGCATATGACATGTATTTTGTATTTAAAGCTAGAATAGCCAGTATTTATGTTTTTTATAAAACTGTGCAATACAGATTTATGCAATCACAATAAATTTGTAACTCCCGAGTGTTCTAAAGGGAGTACACATCTTTGAAGCTGGTGTGTTAATACTATGTAATAAATGGTTAAATATCCAATGATGCTGCTGCCAAAATCATATTACTAGTGAGTTTCAGCCCCCCGGGCACTTTTGTACCATGTAATTATCCAGTGGTGATGCTGTTTTCTCGTTGCTAGTGGCATTAGTGCCAACGTCTCAGTGAAAATGCTCCACGTCTACGAACTGTTAAATGAGCATTCACTTTAAGAAAAGCAACTTTAGTTTCAAAGATACTTTTAAGCTTCTAAATTGATCATTTAAACTATTTCTTTAAGAGTGCCAAATTAGAGGCTCATACTTTCGCTTGGGAAGAAGATAATGAATTTTTTTTTTAAAGGGAAGTTTTTATGCAATGTTCAGGATAAATGCATATCGCTGGCCAGTGTCATTTCCTGGGTGAATTTTGATGTCACGTTGTAAAGAAATCAATCACTGAGGGTTTGTAGATTATCTAGTCCAAACAATAGTTAATTTCGTTCATCTGAACCAACATATTACGGTAGCTAAGAAGTATTAAAACTATATACATCGATATAAAGATTATCCCATTAGAAGTCATAGTTGAACACTGACATGTTATTCTTCTGAAAGAGCCACGTTTTGGTTTTCTTTGTCACATGATTTCTTTTCTTGATGGATGAAAAGTATGAAAGGAAACTTTTATATCTGTTGCCTAGTTTTGTACATGGATCTCATTTTACAAGAGAATCTTCTCTGCAAAGAAGTTTTAAAATGTATTGAAAGCAGAATTCTGAAATGAAGCAAAGTTTGTAAATGCCTATAGAAAAATATTTAATAAATGATGCAGAATAATACACGACGCCTGGTGGCTTTCATTTGCGTCTTGTGACTTAACAGCTATCCCAATCATATCCTTTCTTGAGGACCCATTTAAAGTATAACTGGTTTGGTTACGAGACTCAGAAAATGTGTATCCAATTATTAAGAACACCCATTATGGCAAAACCTTAGGACAGGGGCCCTCAAACTACAGGCCACATGCAGCCCCCCTGGTGTTTTTGCCCCGCTGCCTGTCCTGCTTAGCAGCCGACTCGTCCCGGGCCCACAGTGCCCACTCTCCAGCGGTCTGAGGGACAGTGGACTGGCCCCCTGTTTAAACAGTTTGAGGACCCCTGCCTTAGGAGGACCACTAGAACAAATATTGGGGAGCATTTAATACAATGTTCATTCATTCTTCTGGATTAGTGACTGAAGGGGTCTTGGACTTGCTGTCTGCAATGCAGAAGCATCACTAATAGCTGAAGTTCATTTTAGTTCATACACCCTGTGGTCAGGGGCCTTCAGCAGACAGTCTAATTTTTTTTTTTTCTTTTACAGAGCTACCTCTTCTGTACAAATGTTGTAAAACCTGTTCCCTCTTCAAAGCAATGTTCACGCTGGTTGCTCTTTTTGATGCTGATTTTCTCTCTGCTTTGGTAAATAAGAATAATTACCACCCAACGATTGGCAACGGGGGTGGGTCTACATTGCAGTTCAATGGCTAGTTTCATAACCAGTGCTGCTATATACTTTATACATGTTGTCACTTTAAAATAATATTGATTTTTTTCTAGTCAGCACAGTGTATCAACACCAAGTTTTCCCTTAATCGTAAGGAAAGCCCAAGATAGACGCTTAATACTTTATCTATAACCAAAAATGGCAATCTGTGCCAGACCCCAGGACGTGCACCTCGGCCAGCGAGGACTTGCTCTGCCCTGGATTTTCTCTTTGATCTCTCAAGGCTGCCCAGCAGGACGTGGGTGGGTGGGTGTGTGTGTGTGTGTGTGTGTGGTTTGTCTCCCAGGTTCCATCCAGTTCACTGGAAAGTTCTGCACGGACGTGCCAAGTGACAGGTTTGTCATGTTTCATCAGAACCCTGTCACTTAAGATATAAATCTTCATGCAATTTGCCAGCTTCAGCAGAAAAAAAATAAATGAAAGTGGAATGCCACCCCACCCTGCATTGGACAGTAGGTCCGAGCCTTGGAGTTGGGTGTGAACACTTAAGCTGGCAGTACAAAGGAAACGTGCAGTTGGAAGTTCAGACTCCCATGGCTTTCGATGTGTCACGGGGACTGTGCCTGCTTTCTCCGTGCGGCGCTTTTTCAACCCCGCTGTTTAAAGGGTCAAGGTCCAAGTCACCATCAGAGTTACCCAGATGAAGAGTTTGTGTTTATCAGGCGACCAAGTCCAATAGTTAGCTCTCACGCGCAAGCATTTTGGCTTTATTTCATTTTAAAAGTTTGCTACAGCGCCAATGCGGGTTTCAAGCTTTTGCAAATTTCCTTAACAAAACCACTGGTGAAGGGGCCTGGGGAACTGCATTCCACCTCTCTAACACTTATGAGATCTTACCTTTTTCTACTTCTGTCCCTGAAATTGTGCAGGGATGAATTTTTGTTTCCTCCTAAAATAATGATGCTTCCACTCTTTGTTTGCCTTGGTCCTAAACCTCTAAATGATATTCCATCCTGCACAGTTTTTTTAGGACTGCCAATATATCTCTGTTCCCCCTCACACACACGGACAAAACCCAACTTTTTATTTCATTCTTTAAAAATTTGATTCATCATTAATCATGTAATCAAACTTTCTCCCCAAAAAAGAAAAACATTAATTAAAAAGAAAAAATTTAAAAAGTAAAATAAAATAAATTTGATGCAGTTTTAACTTGGTTTTCCTTCCACGTTCATGTTCTTTATTCACTGTTCTTCGTTCAACCAATTGTTTTTTTATTTTGGTTGTACTGGCTGATTGCTTAGTTTTGCTGCTGTAAAACCTGCTCTTTCACTCAGTTCAAATGAGTGTCTCCTCACATAAATTATATGTAAAGCAAGCACACTTTATTTGTCGAAGTGAATCAGCAAACTCAGTCTTTGCAGTAGCAAAGGAAACAGAGCTTTACTTACGTGCTGGGGGAAGTGATCAAGATCTTTACAGTAACTTAAGGAATTAAACCTGTGAAGAAACCTCCATCGTAGACCTCCCTGTCCCCCTCCTGTAGATGGTGTGGATAAAGCACGCATGAGAAAGAGCCTGAAAGTTTCTGGTAGTTATTTTAAGGCTAATCATAAGACTCTTAGTCTGACTTCTGAATGGCATTAGAGGGAAATTTACTCTTCCCAAATATTAGGGGCATCACTACACACTTACAGTTTTTTGCCAAAATAATGTCCATTACAGATTTTTAAAGGCAACTATGTGCTTGTTAGAAGACAACATGACAATAAAAGTCACCTGTACATAAGACACAGGAGGTCGGCCGTGGTGGCTCAGGCCTGTAATCCTAGCACTCCTACAATCCCAGCACTCTGGGAGGCCGAGGTGGGAGGATCACTCAAGGTCAGGAGTTCGAAACCAGCCTGAGCAAGAGCGAGACCCCATCTCTACTAAAAATAGAAATTAATTGGCCAACTAAAAACATATAGGAAAAATTAGCCGGGCATAGTGGCGCATGCCTGTAGTCCCAGCTACTGGGGAGGCTGAGGCAGGAGGATCGCTTGAGCCCAGGAGTTGGAGGTTGCTGTGAGCGAGGCTGATGCCACGGCACTCACTCTAGCCTGGGCAACAGAGTGAGACTCTGTCTCAAAAAATAAAAATAAAGAGGACTCCTATTGAAGGCTTTAAAACAGTATGTTCCATCTACCAAATCATGCAGCAGGAGTAAATAAAACTCACTCTAAAGATAGGAAATTGAGCCCTACAGAAGTAAAGAAATTTGCCAAGGACTCAGCTCCCAAGTAAGCAAAATACAGAGAGCTCTTCCCAGGGCTGCCTCCTTTCCGGAATAGGAATAGGAAGGATCTAACCGGGAATCGGTTTCCCGTAACAGTTTGCCCCTAACAGAAGCCTCTTGTGCATCGTTTCGTTTTGTCCTACATGCCAAAATAATACCAATTGAAAAAGCAACGCAAACGGCTTTTCCTTCCAGATCCCTTTCGTAAGAGGATCTCCAAACTAGAAAGTACTCAGTGGGAATACTTTGTCAAGACCGAAAGTTCTGTGGCAAAGATAAGCAGCCAGTGAACTCCTAAGGCCGTTACCTGTTACAGCCCCACATGTCACATAAATGCCTCTTATTCAACTGCGGTTTTCCAGGGGAAGAGCCACTGTCCACGCAGGCTCGGTGGCTTCCTGCTCCTGCAAACACTGGGGTGCGCGCGCGCAGCCTGCCCCCAGCACACAAGTCGCCGTTCGCGCCCCAGCCCGCCTTTGCTCCCGTTCCTTCTACTGACAATTTGTTAACAATCAACTAGAATGCTGGAAAACCCCCGTTACGGATTTCGATTTTACAGAAAGTACCCAAAATTCCACCAGTTTTGCATCACAAAGTAGTGGTTACAGTTAAGTTTTGAGTAAAAAACGCCGTGTGTGGTTTTTGTGGGTGGCAGCGGCTCAGAATGACTGTCAGGCCCCATCAGTGATCTGAGCAGCGATGGCAGCGATCACACGGAAGACGACGATGGCAATCACAACAAACGTCCTGCCAGCTCTGGCATCACCAGGCCACACCGAGCGACTGTGGGAACCCAATGGCCAATGCAGAAATGTAACAAGCTTCGAATCCGGACTCCCCAAACCTACCAGCATAAGAAGATTACAAGACCACTGGGTAAGGCCTTTACATTTGTCCACCTCGGGCAATGCCTCCGGGCTCTCTGAGCCATTGGTGTTTCAAATTCATTTGGTAAAACACAGAGCTCTAGCTTGCTTTTTTCACAACACTAAAAAAAAAAATTACCAAAGGAGAGAAACACAATATTTTAAGGTCATGACAAACCAGTGTGAAAGAGAATCCTAACACCTAGAAGTGAAACTACATCATCCACCCAGCCTGGAAAGAAAAAAGAAAGCTCAAAACCACTGTAGAATAAGAACGCAGAGTTTGAGAAAACCCCTAAGGTGAATTCTGAACAACAACAAAAAAGAGCCCCACAACGTAAGAAGTGCGTAGTGTATGCAGGAACCGCGAGTGGAAAGAGTGGCCAGCATTTTTGTAAATTACCCCAGAAAAGATGCTCGGTCCCAATGTAAATGGAACTTCAGACAACCCAGGAATTTCACCTGCTCGCTCTTAGCGTAAGTCACATACTTGTCACCTACATAGCAGCTCATAAAATAAAGTCTCATCAGAGGCTCTCTGTAAAGTTCTCTGGAAGGAAAACATCTAAAATTTGGTATGAAACTGGGCCAAGGAGACCTGAGCCCCACCACGCCTGGGTGCTGAGCATCAGGATATGTCAGAGCCCGCAAGGCAACATGGCGAAATGAAAAGAACACAGAACTCGAAGTTGAATCGAGTTCTAACGCCAGCTCTCTCCCCCGCTGAAATGTCAGAACTTGGAGCAAGTTATTTAAATCGTTTTTTAATTTTCAATTTCCCGATTCTGAGAGATGCTAGCACTCCTTTGGGCAGCAGTGAGCATTAAGACAGGCCGCATACAAATGTGGCTCGCAGGTGCCCGTCAGTGTTTGTATGTCCCATCCCTTTGCAACATAATCATGTCTTTTTCATATCTGTCCACATCTCAGCTAACTATTCCATGACCAAAAGCTTCTTTCTGTTCCTATTAAATGGGTCTCATGTTACCATGGCATCCTAAATCTGCATGTCTTAGCATGACATGTTGGGGTCCCATCTACTCACTTAAAAAAAAAACATTAATCTCTAACATCCAACTTATGTTTTCACTATCAATTTGAACTGAATAATTCATAAAGAGACAAACATCCCACAGCTCCTAACTTCCGGATAACTATCCTCATATGTATGATCAGTGTTGAATTCAAATCTGAGTCCTTTCTTTAAAAA